AACTTGTAAGAATGGTATATAAAAATAAGTCAAGATTTAATAAAAATTTTATGAAAAAAAAACATTTGTCAAAATAACGGGGGGTAGTATTTGTTATGATTATTAGTATTAATATGATTAATAACACTTTTTATAAAACCATTACTTTAATATATTCAAAATAAATACACAATAAAACACGTTTTTTAAGGTTAAATGTATTAAAACAAAGATTATGTTTTTTAACATACTGTGTGATGACTGATTGTTATCAATGATTTGTTATCATTGCAGTATTTTTAAATTAATTACACTGTTTAAAAGTTTAATTTATCCACAAGAAAAGAGGAAGTCTTAATTTGTTTCTAATTGTTTATTTAACATATCTTATATTAAAAAAAGTAGTAACACTTTTATTTTTTCTAAAATATTAGATTTCCGCCTATGAATATTTCATTAGAAATTGTAATTACGCGTCTATTTGTTTTTCTTTGTATCAATTATTTCTAATACTAATAGTGTGATACTAGGTCGGTAGAAAGGCAATGTCACCAATGCAGTTACCTAGTTCCTGGTGTTTTAAAAGACCTCATATGCATAAATGAAAAGCAAAAAAAATGTCTCTTTTATTAAAAAAAATTATTAAAGAGTCCCTCGAATAAGTTTTTGCATTGAGTCCCACAATATCTAGTTAATAATACTTAATTATTCTAAATTTAGTTATTTTATTTTATAAAACATTTAGCAATAATATTCATAACTATTACTTTTGCTTTGTTTTAAAGGTTTTAATCAATTAAATAAATATATTTTGTTTGTGATGGATAAAAAACTTTTGTTAGAAAGCTTAATGATAATATGATATTTTTAGGATTTATTTATTTTCATTATAATATTTATGAAGCGAAACCACTGAATTTTGAATAAAATTATAGTTAGCCACGGCGGGCAATTTTTAACTTAATCATACTTCAGGGTTATTTATTCAAAATGTAATTTAGTCTATAGGCCACTAGAGGTTATGATATTAATACTGAAACCTTAACTGTCATTGATTGATTAGATAAAAATGTTAATGGATTATCATAACATATTAACATATAATATGTTAATCAATTGTGGGTGTAATGTGCAGATAAAATCATTAATATTTTTTGTGTTTCATGAAGAAATAAATAGTACTAGTTCGTTAGTTTAGACGTTAATTTAGGGTTGGTAGACAATTGAAGTTTAAAATTATTTTGCCTATGACTAAATGTGTTTATTATTAATAAAAAAAAAGATCCTATTTTTGCTAATACGATTTATATTAGTTACCATGAAATATTTATTGAAACTATGCTCCAGTCTTATACAATTCATAACATAGTATTAAACATAAAACATTAAATTATACATTATAATGCATAATTGATAATTTCATACAATTTTTTATATTTTTTATGTGACAGACTGAAGGTCGACGGTATAGTACTCATATTTTCAACATTTATTTGTAGTTATATATCAATTACATTACTAAATTATTATTCATAATTAAGTGTGCATTTATGAATGTACTATTATTAAAAACAAATTTACACATGATAATAAAGTTTTTGAAAATTTTTATGTAAATCTTTACCTATTTCATTGTCTAAATTATGAATTTGTAAAATATAGTTAATTAAAATAATTAGTACCCCAAAAACACTATGAAAAATTTAACTTTTTATTTTTCTTTAATATGAATTTTTACATGTGTTTTATTAACAATGTCAAAGATGGACTAAAATAATTTCCGATTCTTGTGTGTATTAAAAACAAATCAATTTCCTGTGTTAAAGGCTTCTATATTTTGTAAAATGATGCAAGACACAGTAAAAAATACAGTAAATGAATTATAATATTATATATGATTATGTTGATTAGCATTATTACCAAACCAGGTTGTATTGACTTGCTCTATATCAAAATCATTCACATAAATTACTGCTTCATGTGTTTCTTAGGAATGATTTTACGTCATTTATCAGTTATAACAATAAGACGTTACTTAGGAAATCTGTAATATCTAAGTCATTATGATAATATTTTATGAGATTAAGTGAAAATAACACTCAATCTCATGTTTTGCAAATGTAAATTTTCTACTTGAAAAAATAGATTCGTGACATTTATGTATTCTTTACAAGAATATATAGAAGTCAATTCTTTAACTGCATAAAACTAACGAAATGCTAATACTTTAACAGCTAGCAAAATAGTCTTGGCGAGAGACCCTCTCAGTTTTGATGTTAATCTTCATGGCAATGTTTCTTTGTAACCTGTTTAACCATTTAGTATTTTAATTTTTTCTTAGATGACGACACTCATTAACTTCTTACAGTTATTTTTTATTCACAAAAAAAAAAAAAAAAAATAGCATGAATCACAGAATATTTGCAAATAAAATATGGTTTTGCCCATGTTTGGTTTACATATTTATTTACGTCTGGTTCGTATATTTACATAATCTATTAAAAACGGTAATTGATATTTTCATGCTGTGGCTGTATATTATTGTATGTAAAATAACTCATTACTTGCTAAAAATAATTTTTTTAATTTAATTACGAAATTTCAATAGAATGGCTTAAATTAATACTATAATATTTCTCTTAATAAATAAAATCATAAATATCTAAATTATTAGTACAACTCATAAACGTTATTTTTTATTGTAGAGTCTCATGAGTGTTTGTCGTCCTATTGTTGTATCCGTATAATATGTTGTGATAGTAGTGTGTTTATGTAGCTGTTTTATAGTATTTGACTGTTTGCGGAATATCATATTATAGAAAAAATATTAAAAAAAGTTAGCACTCCTTACGAACACGAGGTAGGTGAAATGAGGAAATCAGTGACAATAGGTGAAGACGTGATTGGAGAGGTGGAGAGTTTTAAGTATTTAGGGTCAGTTGTGCAAAAGTGGTGGTATTGACGAGAATGTAAGACACAGAATTAAGTGCGGGTGGTTGAAGTGGAGAGAAGCGTCTAGCGTCTTATGTGATAAAAGAATTCCAATGAGGCTGAAAGGTAAATTCTACAAGACTGTAGTGAGGCCAGCCATGATGTATGGTTCTGAGTGTTGGACGATTGATAAGAAAGTAGAGCAGAAAATGAGTGTAGCAGAGATGAGAATGCTTAGATGGATGAGTGGAGTAACTAGAGAAGATAGAATAAGGAACGAGCATATAAGAAGGAGTATAGGTATAGCGTTAATCGTGAATAAGATAAGAGAAAATAGACTTAGATGGTTTGGTCATGTTATTAGGAGAGAAGAATCGGAAGCTGTAAGAACAGTTATAGAAATGAATGTTGAAAGAAGAAGAGGTAGAAGAAGACCAAAAAAGAGATGGAGGGATGCGATATGAGGACAGCTGATGTAAGCGTCGATGATGTGGGAGATCGTGTCAAGTGGAAGTTTAAGATAAGGGTGGCCGACCCCAAGTAGTTGGGATTAAGGCGAGGAAGAAGAAGAAGAGCAGGCCTTAACCTAAGTAACTTTATCTAATTTGTTATTCAATTATGTCACCATAACAATAAAAGTGAATCAAATAAGTAAATTACAGCTATAAAAAATAAGTGTGTTTTAAAAATAAAATTCTTTCTTTATTGACTTTGTTTAAAATATATTCCATCAAGATTATTTTGAAAATAATTTTAAAAACATTGGTTGTATTGATAATCATGATGATTATATATATATATATATATTATTAAATAAATAGCAAATAACGATATATGAAAAAATCACTTGATTTATTTGTCATTAATACTACAAGGATAACATAGGCATATATTATTTTATGGATAAGTAGCACTTAAAAAAAACATCAGTATTGTTTGAACAAATGAAATATGCACAGCGTGTCTAGGGGTATCGCTTTTGGCGGTCTCTTCACACATCTATTCACCACTATATTATTTACAGTAGACCTTACAGTACTTCATAAGAACACGTTATGGGTACATTATCACAAAACAATCGTTTTATTAGCGGAATCGTACACTTAGCATTGCACTAAGTTTTCTTCCAAAATATTTCTGTATTAAGTGTTCACTTGTTAATTAAGTAGACTACTAAGTTAATATTATATGTACTACGTTAAATAGTATATCTGAGTATATGCACAGATTTAACGATGAATGAAAAATCAATATATTTTGTTATATATATATATTATAAAATAATAAAAAGAACGATTAACTCTAATATTATAGAAGATATATCCTAAGGCGCAAGAATCACCTAAGGATGATTTTTCTCAAATAATTTTTCTTTTTTTAGTTCCAAATTTTTTTCATATGATAATATCATTTTCTTTTACAAAAAATCACATTTTTATTGAAAAATTATTAAAAGTACGTGGATACATGTATCACGGGAGAAAATCTTATCCTATCTACTCCTGTAAACTAATAGATAGCACCTACTACACCATTCTGCCCATGATTTTCTTGGACAAGTAGAGTGAGAAAGTGAAAGCCAGGGTTGTTAAAAAACATGTTTAAAAAAACCTGTTTAAAATATATGTAAACAGTTTAAAATATCCTATAATATCATTGTAAATTTTAAATATTTTTGGAAATAATCCTGGTGAAAACATAATTTGGACATCATCACATCATTTAATTCAGGTATGAGAGAGTAAAAACATAATTTGGGGGTACCGTTCTCGTTCTCCCTCTCTAATCTATCCATCTTCTGATTTATCAGTCTACAGCTTAGATTTTAAACACTGTCTATTAGTTTATATGTCTATGCATTTGAGTGTCAACATAATACTAGTTATATATATGTTGTTTATAAACAGCATATGTATTACTAGTATAAAATCAACATTAATTTATGAACTTATCATAGGCTTCTGAAGAAAATTATTTAAAAAACGTTTATTTGCCTACCCGCTTTAATCTGTAGTGTTTTATAAAATTAAAAATTAAAATTTTTGGTTAAACAATAAATAACAAATTATATTAAAATAATTTTGTTACAGATCTTCGATGCACTGTTTCGAGTCAAGTACCGTATACGTTACAGGCATTTTGGGGAGTTTCCATTAAAGAACTACATCATTTTTTGTGGAAAACATGGAGTTCTTTTCAAATAGCAGTCAAGGAAGACGCTTTATTGCGAGGTCATTACCAACACTGTGGATTAAAATTATAGTATCCTTATATTACACAAAAATTCACATACATATCACGAGTAGTATAATATATTTTTTATTTATATTTACTATGCATAAGTACTGCGCTTAATTACTATATATTATGCGTGTTATACAGTATACATTAAAGACATAAAATTCTCTAAAAATATCATTGTGATTAATATAATAGTATAAATTAATAAAAATTCAAAATTATTTAAATTAATAACTAGTGTAAAACCTGAAAATTATAGAATATAATAATTATGTTACTTAAAACTAACATTCACAGAAAACAAAATCATTAAATTGTATAAATGACAGTATCAGCAATAATAGTTGGAGGACGGTGCTGCAGCTTAAATTTTGTATACAGGTGTTCAGTAAGTAAAGAAACAGGTCAATTGTTGCAAACAATGAGAACAAGAGAAACCCGTTTCCTTACTTACGGAACACTCTATTTATGCTGCAATTTTATTTTTGAATAAAAAATCGTAATGCGATTTTTATAACAGTTTCTAAAAACTTGTGATTTATTTTATCTTTTTAAAATTCTGTTGTGTGTTAGTTGTTTTTGTTAACTAGAGTTAAGCCCAAAGTCCTGGTTTTTATAGTCAGTCCTAATAACTAGCGTGTAAGTCAGCTAATCTTCGAGCTGAAACGCCCTCTAGTTGGTAAAGAAAAAAAGTCAGTCCAATCCCTCAAACTATAGCTTGAGGGATGAGGCTAATCAATGGTACTCCAACTGGAACATTTGGGAAGAGCCAAGAAATGCGTTTTGATGCTAAATGTTATTATTGATTTTCTGTGTGTCATGTCGACGGCCAGACCAAGCCGGCCTATGGCATAAATAGACTAACTGGTCCAATAATTGAACACCCTAAATAAGTGAATACCATTAGTATTTACTTGAAATTTAACTCTTTATCATTAATTTTGAGTAATTATATTTGTGATATATGACTTTTATAGCAAAATATAACACACCTATTAATTATTTTTAATATTCTATAAGTGATCAACATTTCGTTTAATTGGAAGGACCTCCTAGGTTTTTAACATAAACCAAATAAATTAGGTTTGTTTATAATTATACCTTAGAGCATTAAAATTAATTATGAGTTGATAAAATAATTAATTTTATATCCAGATTTTAGAAGTTAATTGGTATATAATTAATCTATTATATAATTTGCTTAAGGTAAAAGTTTAATTTCGACAAATCCTTAATTGTTCGATAACTAGAACTTTTCATAAAGTCTATTAATAATAGTAAGAAGAAGAATAAATTTAAAATATTATACTTTTAATACTAAGATACATTTCAGTTATGCCAATTCTAAAAATATATTTAAAATGTCTTAAATGATAATAAACAAGAACATCTTAATTTATTAGTCTTATCTGTGCTTATTTTATTTTGTTAATTAATCAATTATAGATACTAAAAGGGTTTTTAAATAGTAGAAATATTAAACTATGAAATTTTCCATTGAGTTAATTAAGACATAGGGTTTTTTTTAACTTGCAATGTAATAATTTTTTATATCAAATTAAATAAAAATATATATTGTCAAAAATTTGGTAATTAGCAATGAAGTATTATGTTCTATGGTAAGTTACTATCAAGTAACTAGCTTTGTATAATCAAACTTATGTTATCATTATTTAAAATTGCATAACATAAATTTTAATTTTAATTAAAACCCATCTTATATAAAAGGAATTTACTTTCGTCATTTTTATAAAGATATTTATAGAATAATTTCTCTTGTTGCATAAATTATATTTGATTGTGTTGGTATAAAATAAATGTTTGTAGCATCGAATAAATAAGAAAAAAAGTTATTTCAATAATATAAAATTATTAAAAATAGTAATGTTGGGTAAAGAGGCTATTAAAATAAATTTTTTTAATGTTAAATATGCACTAATGTAAACAGAATATAAGTTGACCTTTTGTAATATATTGACCTACTAAAATTATATTATACTTTAAATAATCAAATTCATATTCAATTTTTGTCATAATTATTATTAAACGATGGGTACTGTTTTTATTAGTTACAAGTTGACCTTGGGTATCTAAATTTGTTTATTCGACCATGTATAAGTATTAAAAAATGATGTAATCTACGGGAAAAAATATAGAACATTTTTTTTTTTTTTGGAATAAATTTTTGTAATGTTCTTTGCAAAATCTATTTAATTATATATAATGTAGATATCAGGCATTTTTTTAAAAGAACTGCTTATATTTATATATTTTAATATTAAATTGATTTCATATTATAATGTTGAATGTTTCCTTAATCAAAAATTATCTTTAGTGAAACTAGCCATACGGAAAAAACTGTACAAATGTTTATGCCCGAAGGGAAGCTGGATCTGGGTACGCCACCTCGTCACTGTTATCCTCTGGTTATATTCCTCATACGAGATATACCAGAAAATTCTACTCTTCATCCAGACGAGACGGTAAGTAATATTATATTAACTTAAGAATAGGATATAAGGATAACATAAAAATTAAAACTGTACAAAGTTCAAAATTATGAATCTAATTCATCTATAATTTTTTTAAAGTTTTTTATTGTAGTTATAGAATAGTCAATTTTTTTTGTAAAATTATTCTTCCTAAATCTTTGTATTGTTTTTTATTATTTAAAAATTCATTTCTAAAATAAATATTCGATAAAATTCGAATAAATATTAATTTATTTATTCCTAAAAAATATAATTCAAGTAATATCGCTACTCTAACAATAACAACACGTATTTGTAATTTATTGTTAATTTTTTTCGAGTGTTTGTGAGTCCCAAAATTAAGTACGAGTTGTGAATCAGTTTTTTTTAGAGTACGTATGAGTTGTGGTCAGGCTTTTTTTAAGGTACGTATCAGCCTATAAGCGTTACATAGAAAGCACCACAAGAAGGTTATCTGTGTAATTTTTCAATGAACATTGTTAGGTAGGGGTACACTGATAAACGGGCAAGATGAATATTGTGTCGAATTAATGATAAATCATAGTTTGTTTAATTCGGCATGTTCCATTTTTTCAACTCTGAGTGAATAATTTTTGCTGGTTTGCATAAAATGTCATCAATGGTTTTTTTCAAAGAATTACTAGAAATATTCCTATTCAGGACATTTTCATCAGTTTATACTATACTATAATATGAATGTTATACTCTTATTTCAGTATCTAAAAAAATCTGGCATTTCAATGTAGATTATAATTACTATAATTACAAATGCTACAATTATTTGGGCCTGAAACTCAACTCATGACAAAAGTCATCGGGTCGGAATTCACCGGTCTCCGATATAGTAAATATCACGTCAGCTGCAACTCACCTACAATCTTTTTTTCTATGTCAAATTAATCAGAACTTCCCTGTGCCTAATTTTGTATTATGAAAACGATATTAAATAAAATGTGCTTCAAAAACTTAAGAAGTTCACTCTATTTACCTCAAGATTTAAAATTTTTGAAAATATACCTTTTTTTCGTATGTGACAAACTGTCTCTTTTTTTCAGAAACATTTTATAGTTATTGAATAATATCTGAAGTTGTTTAACTAGTCTTAAAGTTAAGAATAATTAGAAACATTCCTTCAAAATCAGTTGCTTTTAAAATCATAAAACGTGTTTATTATCTAATGGCGTATCTAGAATCACATAATACAGTAGACCTTTAAGGATAGAAAGAATAAGGGATTTGAATTTGACCTTCATACATAAAAGATAGTGTTTTGTAAATAATTATTAGATTATACTAAATTACATTGATTATATAGTTAATAAATTGATATTAAAGTTATATTATTGTAAAGTTAATTGTAATTTGTGATAGCACATTTTTACTGTTTAATTGGTAGAAAGTTTTGTAAAATTAATTGATTAGTAATTTTTTGATTTCAAATGGGGTAATAATTATTCATTTTCAATTAGTTATTTTCTTATCCTTATTTATCGATAAAAATTGTTTAAAAATATTAAGTAATTACAAGTTATCAATTTTACTAATTCAACGGGATCTAGTTATGATAAATTTTTAGAAAAATCCTTCAAATGTAATTAAGGTTTTTTCTAAATATAAACTTTAACTTATATCTGTGACTATGAATAATTTATACGGTTTCGTTTGTTTAATTACATCTTAATTATTGATTGTATTTTATTATATATTTATTACGAAAACATATTAATTGTATTTAGTACTCGTTATGCTTATTTTTAAAAAGTAGTATAGTGTTAGTAATCATCTCTCTCAATGCTATTCAAAATGAGGCCTCGAAAATAAATATACATGAATGTAAAGTTTTCATTCTTGCGGCGAAATTCAATTTATTTCAATGTTATACTAATTACTTATACAATATTAAATAAATATTAATTAATTTTTCTGTCTGTTTTTGTCATATTTTAGGTAGCTTTGGTAAACGTTGTACATATACGAGACAATGTGTGTACATTACCTACAAACATATTGGCACAGTATTTAAAACAAGCAAATGGACAATTGTCATCGCTTAAGGTGGGATTATTATTATATTTTTATAAGATAATAAATTATAATTGATTTGAATAATATCAATCAATGACGTTGCGTTATTTTAAATAGTCTACCCTTGTTCTTAACCTCAAATAACGGGTATTCTGCTTTCAGCCTCGTTTCAGTAGTTACCTCGTACTAATTTTTTTTGAAAGTTTATTAATTAAATTACCTCAGATATGTTTTTTCGGGATCCCAAAAATTTTAAGTAGGATATTGTGTTATTAAGGTAATAAAATTCCTTATGTAAGTATATATTTTATATAAGGCTTTTTTTAAAGAATAACATTTTATAAATAACATGATTTTACTAAAGTATTAATTAAAACATTTTTTTAATAATTCAGTAGGGAATGAAAAAAAGATCTATTTGAATACAATTTTTTTAATATGCCAAAAGTGCTAATTTTTATTGGTTTTCTTAAAAATAATTTATTTATCATTTCTTCGTTTTATTTATTTAGGACTAGAGCCCCCCCGAACTTTTCAGACTGATGGTAGTATTGTTGTTATATTTAAATTTGTTGTATGTTAAGCCTAATACTGAAGACATTGTTTTTTTTTAATAGCAATTTTATGAATTTTCGGGTAAAAAAATGTGGGGTTTCTGATTGCATCAGTGCCTACCGTGAGTCCCTGATAAAAAATTCTGAATTTAACACTGTCTATTATACTGATAATTATATATTAATATTGTAATTTGCGGTACGCTAGATATTAATTTGTATTACTAATATTTCATGTTATTAATTTTGATGTTTAAGACCTTAAATACTCCACCCACCTCCTAGTGATCTCTGTGCATAAAAAAATTGATATGATTTTCCAACTATTATGAACAACTGATATATTATTTATATACATTATTTAATTTAATTTTAAAATAATGATTTTTTTAATTCAAATTTTTAAATTCTTTTAAATTTTAACTCCAGTTTTCTTTTTTCAAATTACACGAATGAAAACTAATATTTTCTTAATTCTTTAAAGATTAAAAATAATATTTTACTAATATATAAGTGATTATAATATGTTTCATGTAAAATAAGTAACTAATTTTTAAATATGATTTTACATTTTTTGACAGCAATTATATTTGGCCACTGGGAATGCTTTAAGCTATCAAGATGATGCTGCTGCATGCGATGATGAATCTCAAAGAGCATTAGTTTTGGACAATAGTAGCTTAAATACTGGCCAAGAACAATTATGCGTTGTCTGTCAGTTTTATCCACTGTCCAGAGCTTTATTACCTTGCAGACATACTTGTATTTGTGCATCCTGCTTTGGCAAGTTGGAGACTTGTCCCATGTGCCGTAGTTCAATAAAAAGTTATTTCTGCGTGCGCAATGAAGACTACCTGACCGACTGTGCATCCGGACTGGATAAAACTGGAGCGTCAGTCAAGAGGCAAGCGTTTTCCCAGTGGATTCAAGACAGTATTACTGATTTCCTTGGCCTACATTAGGCTTTACTCTTGTAGTATATATTTCCACAATCCACCTATACCTATCACTCCTCTGTGTTTTTGAATCAAACGGACTAGGTCATAAATTAATTTTTATTATTTGTGTAATTGATATATGATTGTGTATTGTAATGTTTAAACATATGTTAATTCAACCACAATATTATCCTTCAAAATCCGTCCCATTAGTATGACATTAATTTGATTATCTTTTGTATATAATGTAAATTAAAAGCCATTTGAGCTCTCTTTTTGTTAACAATAGCAATGCAATATGTTTAAACCAATATCATTACTATTATTAATCAGAAATGTTCTACATGTAATATTTTTTAATGAATTATTTTAGTTGTAGTATGCCCAATTTAGGACATACTTATTTGTGATATCAAATTTGATGGTATTTGTTAATGTGTTATTATTATTATTACTGATATCGTCCTTCATCTTAGAAGATAACTTTAATATTAAACTTACTTAATGGAGGCATATAATTTGTGTAATACTAACAACTAAAAGATGTCTAAAACTTTTGACAAAGCTCCAAAAAATTAAGGAGTAGTTAATATTTTTTATTTTTATCTTTCAACTGAGTCACAATTCTTGTAGTTACACAATCATTATACAGTGAAATGTACGGACAATATTTTTTTTAATTTTGATATTTACTGAACATATTTGATTAATTTATTTAAAAATTTAGATTATGCAATTGTATCCAGTAAAGTTCCTTATTCACAAATACTATTATACATTTGTATGTTTTATGTTTAATCTTAAATATGTAAGTATATTATACAATAATATAAAAAATTCATAACCCTTTTTTTATACCTATTTACATCTTTTTTGAATAAAATTTAAATGATTTATTTTTTTTTTTTAAATTTTATTAAATTACTATCAATCAATTATCATGTAAATAATCAATTTAATATATTGATTTACTTAATTTTTTTATAGTTCATTAATATCTTTGATTTTAACTTTAATATAACTACACTGATTAATTTGTTGAAACATAAATTTATGTATCATGAATTATGGTTTGTGAAAGATTAACTATAATTTAAGAGTAAAAGTAATGAAAATTATTGTTAGCATAATTCTTTATTATTACTTTTTTATTATTAATTCTTCATCTCATTAAAATTTATAGAATTATTTGTTGGTACATTTCACTAGTGACATGTCTGTTAAGTTAGAGTTAGTATTAATTCTGTTTCAGTAATTTTATATTGACACTATACAATTTACATACTATATTTTAATTTTGATTGTTTATGCTCATCCCATTACCAATTACTTTAGTTCAATATTTTTTTATTATTTAATAATGATGTATATCCAATGTATTAAAAGAAATGAACATGTACTATCATTATCGGTCAGAATCTTTTGTATATTATTTATTTGGCTGTTTTAGTTTAAATCTAAACAAAACAATACTTCGTTTTGTGATATTTTATAATTTAATTACCAATATAGTAATAAAAATATTTATAATTAAAAGATAAGATTTAATTTACTTTTTTGTGTTAGTCTAAGTTAGTAGTAATTATTTTGAAAAGTTTATAAGATTATTTAATACAAAGTTTTACCTATTTAAATGAGTTAATTTTACACTTGGTTGGTCTACGATGGTATAGTACTGGCAATGTGTTTTTTTTTTTGTAAACATCACTAACATAATATTAATTTTACCAATTAGAATAAATAATTATAAATGTATGTTTTTTGTTAAATCTATATAATTGTGTGATTGTGAATAAATAAATAAATATAGACATGTATTTTATTTGGAAAATTTTTAGTAATCTTAGATATTTTAAATTTACATAAATATCAGAAACATCTACAAATAACATTTGTAGAATTTTTTATTTAGCTATTATTTTTAAATCCTGATTCACTACTACATGAGCCCATTACAATTTAAAATGTTGGGCCCCTAAATATAAACTTAGGTTATAATTAAACTTTTGAAAAAAAAAAAAAAAAAAATCCTCAATAATTTTAAATAATTTTATTTGTCCCAAACTATAAAAATACTGATTTTTTTTTGTTGCTGACTAAAAGCCTTATTTCAAATTGCCTAGTAAAAATAAATGTGCCAAATGTTCTTCCATGAATATGAAACTAACTATTCATAATGTTAAAACAATATTATTTGTTATAACTTACAATATTTTTAAAATTTTCTTATTTTCAAAATATAATTATTGTCCCCAAAAAATTGATTAAAGATTTTAGTATATGCAGTATCATAAATATCTTATTCAGATTTTATGTTATTAGCTAATTGTTGATGAAAATGTTAATCAAATTTTATAACTGATTATTAGTGAATATTTGGTCAGGATTACAAATAATATATTTATCACTAAATACTCAAATATACAACAAGTGAATAAATAGTAATTAAAATGGCAATAACTATATTTTTATTTCAATAAACAGAACTAATTTACATAAGATAATTAATGCTCAATTGTACTGCAATGCTCAATTCCACCACACTTCTCATGTAAAATATTTTAAATCCCAAATATGGTTTATCATAAATTTATTTTATTTTTTCTAAATTATCCATAAAAGTGGCAAGTTTTACATCATTTGTTGATAATCCATTGACATCATGAGTGGCCAATGTAACTTGAATTTTGTTGTATACATTAAACCATTCAGGATGATGATTCATTTTTTCACTCTTAATAGCTACTTGAGACATAAATCCAAAAGCCTAGGATTGAATAAAGTAATTATTAATATTGAATTATTTTATATTTTCGTGTTACACTATTTACTTCAATGAAGTCAGAAAATAAGAATTCTTTGTAAATAGCATCTCTATCTTTTACCATTATCCATTTGTTAGCAAATAAAGGAGCAAGCAGTTCATCTCTTTGCTCATTTGTTAATAAACTTGGCTAAAAATTATATATTATAAATTAAAAATATTGACTTTATTTTATAGGATAAAAGGCCACTTTTGTACCTACTGCAACCATTTAATTAAAACTTGATATTTGATCTATAGATCATACGTTATATCATTTATTTTGAAAAAAATAATTTAATAAACACAATTATAAGTTTTAAAGCGTTATGGCTTTAAAATTTCTCTAAACATAAATCTAAAGAGAGAAATTTAATTTAGAGGCACAAATGATAGTGGCCAAAATTAGCACATTTATCTAAAAATTTCACATTTATTGAAAAGGTTTTAGTTTACCTAAATTTTTAAGAAAGAATTCAATTTCTATAATTAATAACAAAATTTTATTAATAATATGCATAATGATTTCATAATAAAAACATTTAGTTAAAAAAATTTTAGAACTGAAAATTGATTTAATTTATTTTTATTTATACAAATAAATATTTTTTAAGGGGCAGGTAAATTTAATTTATAATTCTTTGAAAGTTTATTTCCATAAATCTACCAACTCTATATTATTAAAATATGTATATTTTGGATTTATATTATATTTAAAAGTATTGAAATTATTTCTTTGAATGAAAATCAGGCATAAAAAGATAAACTGAAAACTTAATAGTTCTTTAGAACTAAGAATTAATGTAGAGAATATTTTTTTATAGTCTACACTAAAGTGATCAAATGAAATATTAAAATACATTATTTTATCATGAATATGTTATCTGTTTCAAAATCTTGTAATTAAAAAATTTATAACAAGAAAAACATTAATTGATACTTCTAGTCATGTGCAAAAAGAGTTGAATAACTATTTCATTGGTCAGTAGTATATATTCTATAGATAACTATGGTAAATTTTAAATAAAAGTCAACCAAATTTTTTGAACATATAAAATAATACATTAAGATTTAGGAAATTCTAAATGTTGTCTTTAAATTCCCTTAAATAAAATTTGTTATCTTTTAACAAGTAATAATATTTATAAAAAGTAAAAATTATACTTAATTTTTACTATTTAATTAGTGGCAAGTCTAACTAAAATATCAGTTTTTAATTTTTCAGTTTAAATACATTAACTTAATATGTCATATGATAATGGAAGCAGTTCCCACTAACCAATTCAGGTGACATATTTAATTTTTGATAGTAAAATAAATATAATATTTGATTAAGTAATATAAATCAATAATTTATGAAATATTTAGAAAAATTTAATATTTACATTGAATATTGATATATACTTATAACTTACCATTTTTTTATTAACTTTCGTAGAATATTTGAAACAAAACTGAAATAACCTTTTAGTAATAGGAGGTATTAGTAATATAGTCATTAAAATAACATATAAAGTGAAAGTTATTCAAGTACTTGATGCTACAATTTTTACTTAATTTTATCCAATGAGGAATAATTTTACAAGGTCGTCTCTGAATCAATAATGTCGAATTAAAATTTTTAACTAGAACAACGTACAGATTCTTTTTCTAGTACATTATTTTAATAACAAAATATTGGATAAATCGTTGAAGGCGATTACTCAAAAATTTGTTTAGAATATCAATATCAAGTGATAAGGGAAATATAATTGATAAGGGCTGGCCAAACGTATTATTTAATATGTAAATAATACAGTTATAATAATTTATAAAAAAATAGAGGAATACTTCGTCAAAAACATAGTCATCAAAGTACCCACTTATTTGTTATAAATACATTTTTATTTAAATGGTGTTTCTGGTGGCATAATGACACTGTTTTAAAGGTACTGGCATTACAAAAAATGCAATTATCTTTAAAATTAAAAAATGCTTGTTAATTACAGAGTAATAAAATAGTTATGTTCATTGTCAATATAAGTGTTAAATTAGCCATAATGTTAAAAATGTTATCATTTAAATTCTTTAACAATATTACAGTAAGTTCCTTAGACAAATAGACGTATATTTTTGGTTGAGAGAGGCAAAAACGATATTCAAATTGACTTTTTGTTTCCTTGTAATACTTTTGTTTCGTAATTTAACACTACCAGGAATTTGTCTTGACCTCATATTGGACATCGAATTACATATTCTTTAATTTTTTTATTCAGTACCAGTACCACAGTTTGAAATTGATTTCAGGGTGATAGTCTGCTACACAATCATAAGTTGTAATTATTGATTCAATTTTGTACATCAGAGGTAAACCATATTTTTCATTATAAAGGTAAATGTTACTTGTAAAAGTTTACTTCTAGTATATAAAATTATTTTTGCATAAAATTGTTCATCTATTAGCTTCGATGCGAAGCGGAGAAGGTATTAATTTTACTATGATGTGTTTTTTTTTTTTTTTTATGACTGTTGCCACTTATTCTCAGCTCTCACTGGACCGATTTCTTTCAAACATACGTCAAAAGATCACAAATCGTATCTAGTTGAAGACATTACCCTTAAAAATTGAAAAAAATTCCCTCGTTCCCCGCAAATGGGGGAAATATCCAAAAAAATTACAAATTTAAAAATCGCTAATTTTCGAAATTTTTTCACTTTTTTTTCTTAAAACTTCCATAACTTTTTGAAAAATCAACAAATCTACATAATTTTTTTTTATACTAAAACCTTAGATATTTACCTTTCATTTGATATCATTTTTTTGAAAATCTATCACTTTACCTGCTCATTGGGGGGGGATTTAAAATTGCAATTTTTTTACAAAAAATAACTTTTTCAATTTAATTTTTGAAAATGTTCCGGAAATACTGCGTCCTTCAAACATATATCAAATTAAACCTTATTTTATTTACTATAAAATGAAAAAAAAAAATTTGTCCCGACACTTTATTTTCTACATTTAAACGGCTGCCGTAGTTAAAAACACACTATTTTTTATGTAAAATTTTCGGTTTAAGATTTTAAATTTTCAACTTAAAAATGCTATAACTTTTTGAAAAATGTATATATCAGCACAAATTTTTTTTTCTAAATACATTATAAGTACATCTTTCATTTGACATACTTTTTATTAAAATTGGACAATTTCCCCTTATATAGGGGGCGTTCAAAACTTAAAATATTGTAAAAAACATAGATCTTTTTCAACTGAACTTTTGAAAATGTTCCGGAAATACTGCGTCCTTTAAACATATATCAAATCAAAGGTTATGTTATATACTATCAAATGAAAAAAAAAAATTTGTCCCGACATCTTATCTTCTATGTGCAAATGGCTGTCGAAAATTTAAAAAAAAATGTAATGTTTGCGATAAAAATTACATTTTATCGGGATGTTTTTTGTACTTAAAACTGCCATAACTTTTTCAAAAATGAACAAATAAAAATAATATTTTTTTGTATTGAAACCTTAGATATTTCCCTTTCATTTGATATAATTTTTTTTGAAAATCTAACACTTATTCTGCTCACTGGGAGGATTTAAAATAGTAACTTTTTTACAAAAAATAACTTTTTCAACTTAATTTTTGAAAATGTTCCGGAAATACTACGTCCTTTAAACATATATCAAATTAAAGCTTATTTAATGTACTATAAAATGAAAAAAAAAATTTGTCCTGACGACCTTTCTTCTATGCGCAAATGGCTACCGTATTTAAAAATATGCTATTTTAACAAATTTTTTTTTTTTCAATTAAACACTATCTACTAAAATATTTTATTAGGGGAATAAACTGACTTTCATGAATATTATATAATTTCATTGACATAGAATAAAGTTCATAAGACATATGATATTATACTTATTAACATTTTTTACTTTTTTAAAGTCGAAAAAGTAATTTTTAAATTTGAGNATATGTATTGTAACTCTCCAAACGCCACGCGTTATCGCATATTCCGTCGTCTAGACTAGACTGTCATAACGCATTCACCCCTCCTCACGCCTCGCTCACATCACGACGGCACACTATTCCTATAAAAATTTATTTTTAGTTATCGTACCCGTACACGCGTGCTTGTCATCAATATTATATATATATAAACAAATTTTTATTTTGACTGACCAATACCGCCCGCGTCTAATGCGCCTTACGTATATATATTTATATATTCCTACCACCGTTTATACCTCAGGTATAACGTTAGTCCGACCCGCCCGCCCACAAAATACGGTTATACCTAGTGCATGATACGTTTACGTACTTAAGTTGCATTATTTGTATATATATTCTAATTACTATTAAAATTTATATATTAACACGATTTATTCTAATTAAGAGATATAAAGTATTCATTCCGATTACGAGGGATGATTCCCGTATCGTNATTTTAAACTATATTTATTTATGATAGTGATTTTAATCACTGTCAGATATCATCTATACTGGACTCAACTATGCGACGACCCCACTGTGCTGGGTTTTTTATTTTCATACTAAATTTAATAATTATAATTAGTATTTATTCATATATCATATTATAAAATCAAAGAACTACTAATTAGGTTATAATCAAAGAAATAAGAGTTGATGTTGCTTTTGGAATAATCCACCAATTTCTCTAAATGAAACACTATCTACAGATTTGCATGGAAGCGTTTCTTATGATAGTGATTTTAATCACTGTCAGATGTCATCTATACTTGTCTTATCTATGCTTTGTCTACACTGTGCCTCGACCCCACTGTGCTACCGTTTTTTTTTTATAGAGTTGAAAATATAAATCCTTAATTAAGAAAAGTGTGAAGTACATTTAAATTAAAATTGAATTGTTTTTAAATGAACCAAAAATTCTTTAAATTATTGACATAATTATCGACTATTTTCGTTTAAAATTTTTGCTAGTTAATTTAAATTTTAAATTTAAAGATACAATTCATATTTTTAAAGAAGGAAAAATATGTTCATGGTAAATACTGCCTTATTTAGTTGTTACCATTTTAATTTTTGATAATCACAAATGTAACATCTACACCATGAGGGTGATTTGGACGGGGACCACACTTTAGTTACATCAAAGGACTAGGATATTTATAAATAATATTTTAAACAAACAAAAAAATTAAAAATAAGAAAAAACCAATTTCTCTATATTTGTATTTTTAAAATAAGTTTAATTTTAATGAGAAAATTATTTATATTAATAACAATGATTATTAAATAATTAATGAATTTATTTATTGAAATTAGAACTTCACGCTTTAAAAAAATAATTTTCAACGATTATGATTCTGTTTGTACTTTTTTTTTGTTGCGTTGATTGATTGTATAAATGAATAAATTGGTAAAATTGACCATTTTATATAAACATTAAATACTTATTAATCGTCATGTTAAAATTAAAGTATAATTTTATTTCAGAATTATATAAATACTTTGAAAAAAAAAGCTAAAAAGCCATTCCGTCTGGCGAGATTTGAACCTCATATTCCCTTAAGGTTGGAGGCAATTGCTTTACCAACTAACCAAAATATTGCTATTGTTACACTACGTTAAAAAGAAATACTTAAGGTAGTTCAAATTTTCACTCATTTTTTGCCGTTTAAGGGGGCATTAGCAAAAAATTCAAAGTAAGTGCAACTATATAATAAACGTAGATCAGATTCTTTTGAAAGGAAAGAGTTTAAAAAATAGTATTTAACTACTATCTAAACATAAGTATTACAACAATTTAATTTTGTAAAAGTATGAAACAACAAATATAACATAATTTGGTAATCACAATGAAACGACCAAAGCGACAATCGCTACCGAGGTTCAAAAAAAAAAAAAAAAACAAATAATAGCTATTCATAACAAATTACAAATGTTTTACTTAATAGTAAAATAAATGACTTCACTAAATTTAATTTTTACTTTCAACAGATTCATAGAACTTTTTGGGTTATGGAGATTGCCACGAACTGATAATGCTCCGACATTCATATACTCCAACACTGTAAAAAAATCCTCCGAATACATTTACTCAGACAACAATTAATACCTGGTTACAAAAATTTGGATTTTACTACGACGATGAATACTCCGAATAGGTCTATTAATTTATTGCTCCGAATATCGATTATTTGCGAAATCGATTAAAAAATGATGAAATTTCGGATTGTATGAGTATCGTAGCAATATATTATCTGATAGAAAAATATAACCGTTATCACTAATTAATAAATATTAATCAATATATTAAAATAGCGTTTTAATTAATTGCTTACTGTCTATTAACGAATAATTATTACAATAAAGATCCTCGAAATGTATCCGACTTTTGATAAAATAGGTACATAAAGGTAAGGAAGGGGGCTTTGAACTAGAACAACCACAGTTATATAACTGGTGTGAGCCCTTAAATTTTTTTTTTTTTGGAGGGGAAAGAAGAGAGATTCCAATTTTTGGACGTAAATCTTTTTTGCCTCTCCTTATTAGTGTCTATTATTAAAATATTTCATTAGTTTAGCTAAAAAATATAGGGGTACGTATCATTGGTGATAGGATTCGTCATTAAACTAGCTATTATTATTATTATTGTAACACTACGCTATTATTATTCGTCTATACTTAAGCGAATAATTTTTCACTTCTATTTTAAATATTAAAAAAAACCTATGTACACGATATAAGACAATTTATTTTATGCGTTTAAGAAGCGATAAAGATTGCCACATTAAAATCTACACTAGATATAATTTTAAAATAAATTAATAAAATATTTTTACCAACTAATAGTAGTGATGATACACAAGTTACAGCATAAAATAAATTAAATAGACTAGACATCTTTGTTACTTTATTAATAACAAAGAAAAATGTATTAAATGTTAATTTACAAGTGATAAGTACATATTTTTAAGGGGAATAACAATTATTTAATATTGTATAATGTTTAACTACTGATAAATAAAATATCAAAGAATAACACTTGTGAAAAATAATGGAGTGCATTGTTAAAAATATGTGAAGTCTAATTTTGTAACAATTTCATTGTAATTTTTATTAAAAAAAGGAAAGGCTATTTAGATATTTTTTTCAAAGAAATGTCAAACTGATTTCAATAAATGTATATTAGATTTTAAAGAAAAAGAACTTTAAATAAATAATTTTTTACTCCTGAATATTTTAAACTTTTCTTTGAGCACCACTGGAGATTATAATGGTTTTACTAATAATTCAACATTGATTATAAAACTCATGTCACAAAATTAAAATTGTTTAACGATAAGTTAATATATTTTTACTTTTAGACGACATACAGAATTTTTAAATAAGAAAAAATTAATTCTACTTATATATAACCAAAACTTACTCATTCTTAGCATAACTTATATTAGAACTTGTAGCAAAATTTACACAGTTTAATGTTATTTTTATTTTTTTATATAAAAGTTAAAGATTATTTTAGTAATTAATTTTCAATTAAAATTGCTAAAAGAAAAATTAATCATAATCCACTGAGTCAACACAAACCTATTGGAAGAAACTTCCAGAAAGTAATAAGACTAAAAAAAGTGTATTCAACAATTACTGCATTGAAGTTAGATATACTTTGTTTTTTTTATACTTAGATATCCTAATGTAGCACAGGAAAAAATCCAGTCATCCCCAAGAATGATGAGGCATACATGGAAAAAAGTTTCTTTTTTAACCTTGAGGTCCTATTGCTCTACATTCAAAATTATTGGATAGATCTCAAGGGTTCTCAGTTTATGGGTTCATCCGAACAAATAATAAGATATTATTTTAACTCTTCCCGAAGACACTTATCCATATTATCAAATTAGACTTAGAACACCCAATTTTATATTGTACAAATATTAACAATTTTATGTTTATATTAGTCATTATTTTTTAATAATACACACTTAGGAATTAATCACTAATAAAATTGCACATTACAATTTTTGCAGCACATATTGTTATAGAAAAATTAGTTTTCAAATGGATCTCTTAGATGTTAATAAATAAATTACGGTTAGATAAAATTTTGTGGATAAACTGAAAAAACAGTTAACTAACAATTTTTTGATTTGATGAAAATATTTTGTAATTATTGGATAATTAAGAAATAAAATTCTCAAAGATAAATATATATTCTAACAATAAAGAAAACTTTTTTAATAATGTACATTTATGTTAAAAACTATTAATTTTGTTACTTAATGAATGACTATTATCATTCGAGTATTAATAACATTTGTCAGATGTGAGAAATTGTATCAGAAAATAATAAGCAATATGTATATTATTGTATAATAACTATAGTAGCAAATAAATGCTAATTTAATAGAACATTTTAATTTAAATTTTACAATATAATTAATAATAATATAATTAATTTAATAATGTAGTGTTTCTGTAGCCACTTGACCCTGACGTTGCAACATATACAATCGATGTGCCCTATTATTAATAATACAATCAAAATATTATATAACTTTCGATGCATAATCAAACTATCGATAATGTCGGAGTTTTTACCGTCTCATTTTTTAAATTTAATGTCGGTGTAAATTCCGTCGTAATTTTGGTAACCTATGGTATCAAATGTTCGGAGTACCAGACGTTCGTAATAATTACTAATTTGTTAAATATTGAAGTATCTAAATGTCAGAGCATTATTAGTTCGTGGCAAAGGTGTTTTCCCTAACTTTTTTGAAAATCGGTGATCCCATCACCTTATCCTCCCCTTGTTAGTGGTACCATAGTAAAATGAATAATATAATATTATAATAATATAATATAATATTCATTTTACTATGAGTGGTACTGCAGCGCATCAGTAGATGTGCCTTTAGTTTGAAAGAACTATAGTTATTTTTAAACCAAAAATGTCTACTGTATTTTATTTTAATTAAAAATTCTTATAGTGATTATTCATACGAAAAATATTAATTGGTACTTTACGCCGGTGACACTTGGTTTCACAAAATTCGTTACATTGAGTAACTTGTCTTATCTATAATCGTGATGATAAGCACGGATCGTATTAGCTAATCTGTGATAGTAGTAATGTCTATTTCCCAAAGGAATGTAACTTTAGTCATGTGCTCTACTAAGGGTTTTCAAAAAGAAACTTGATTATCGTGTACTGAATGATAATTTTAACAAACTCTGATTCGTTATTGTATACTATATATTTTTTTTAAATAACAATTTTATAGTATTTATTATTTTAATTTTTAACAATGAAAACTGTTGTAGAACAAGTGCATACTAATTCTATTTATCCGCCAGTGATTGGTAATATTTTACCCTTATTATATGAAGATATTTTATAAGAATTTTTAGGATATTTTTTATTAATTTTTGGAGTTTTTAGTAGTATAACCTATCTAATTAACATAAAAAAACAAAAAATAAAAAATAATACTTATTTTATTTTGGTTCAAGCTATCAATGAGGTAGGTAATTTAAAATCAGCAGAAACGTTAGATTGTGGTATGGCTTTTGAAGAATCTACGAATAAACCTATTTTGAAAATATTCAATCAACATGGTGGTACTGTAGAAGAAGAAGATACCTCGAAAAGAGACAATGTAAAACAATACATAGTCTTACGGAACAAAAAAACCAATAAAGTAAATATAGTTTTATGTATATTTTTAGAAATTATATTCAGAAATTTTTTTTATTGTACGGTATAGGCCAATAGTTTGATTACACATAATAAAATAATCAATTTTATTTTATTTTATCAAAATGTATTAATTTATTCACCTAATCAAATATTTATAACATTATTTAAACTTACTTATGAGTATCTTTTATAAAAGTTTTATAAATCTAATGAAAAAAAAAAAAAACACAAAAATTAGAAAAGTATTATTTGAGTCAAATTTCTTGAAAACTGACATGTTTAATTTTAGCACTAATTTTTGGTATTGCCTAGGGGTAAATTATGCCAACAAGTATTTTGGTTTCTTAAATTATTATTCATAAGTTCTTTTTTATTTTAAGTATTTTATAATTATTTTTAAAATTCTTAAAAAAAAAATTATTCTTTAAATTTATTTTAATGTGCACAATTTCAACTATGTTTTAGTACCATTAAAAACAATTATATTATAAATTGAATGGGTGGTCCCAGGCCAGAGTAAAATTAGAATTCCAAATTGAAAATAGGCCAGACCATGTCACTTAGGCCTCTTGTTAGTAATAAGAAATCACTTAAAGAATACATAAATAAGTATAATTTTTATAAAATTCTGTTATAAAAATACCAAATAAGATTACCAATGTCAAATAAAACATTTTCAATGAAATAAGATACAGTAAAAATTACTGTAAATATTAAGTAAAATACTTAATTTTGTTTTTTAAATTTTATTTTTAAATTCTATATGTACTTCTAAATAACACAATACTGATGATACATTTAAATTATGTTATAAATGTCAAAAAAAGGCGAATGAAATAAGCCTTTTTTGTAAAATAGATTATTAATCTAAAAAATAAATTTTTTCTCATCCATATTAAAATTACTGTACTGCATATTTAAATTTAAAGAGTTATTAAAAGTATTAACTTAGTGTTGTAATTAAAATTTTTCTGTTATTAGGTAACTATATATGGGACCAAGACAGTTTATTTGAAGAAGCCTGATTATTTCAAATCAAAAACTTTTAAAAAAGGAGAATCTACAGCTATGACTGAAGAATTTGTTTCAACTTTTGGAACTAAAAAAGCTACTCGGTTATATAAAGCTCGAGATATTGATGCGATTGAAGCCTCAGAAGATGTTTTTAATAATATTTCAACTTGTATGTATATTTTATAAATTGTTAATATAACATTTTATTTCCTATAATTTTATGTTCTGTCTGTGTATTTTTATTAATACATTTTTACAAAAATTTCTGAATAATTTTTTATGCTTAAATTATATATAGAGCAGGTGGTATTAGAAAAACAGTTCTTAATATTAATAAAGTAAAATCTAATTAAATATTGTTAGTTACTTATTATTTTTTTTTAATTAATAAATTAATTGACAAAAAATAATATGTAATAATGTTTTTGGTTTAGTTTAAAAGATATTATTGTTATTATAGAAACTATTTAGCATATATTAGAAAATACCTCTATGAAAAATAAATTTAAATCATTTAATTTTTTATAGCCAGTGATGTATTGCTTACTTCTGCACTATCTCCAATAAATGAATTTACCAAATATTTGCCTTTGGGATGTAATCGGTTTGCTACAAATATAGAATCTGTTTATCCTGTTTCAACTTTATTGACAGAAAATGAAATACAACTGATGACCGACTATGCTCAAGAAGTTATCTCAATGCTTCCAGTACCAGTTGAAAATGAGGAGTAAGTATTAAATTATGCAGACATGGAACATGTAATTTTCCACAAGTATACTGTTTTTTAAAATTACTACTATTCACAGTTTTTTTCGGTTAAAAAAAAAAAACAAATGTTAATAAAAATATGGGGATTCAAAATATCTGTATGCAACAAAATCTAATATGTATGATCCATAATATTGTACTGTATTTCTAACATTGCTATAATGGTTTTTATTAATTTATACTAAGTTGTATAAGCAAGTATTTATCAGAGTACAACTTTTAGCTTCGATGCGAAGCTGAGAAGGTATTAATTTTACTATGATGTGTTTTTTTTTTTATTTTTTTTTTTGTGTCTGAACGCTCAATCTCAGCTCTCGCTGGACCGATTTTGATGAACAATATGTCAAAAGATCACAAATCGTATCTAGTCGAAGACATTACCCTCAAAAATTGAAAAAAATTCCCTCGTTCCCCGTAAACGGGGGAAATCCCCCAAAAAATTACAAATTTAAAAATCGCTAATTTTCGATATTTTTTCAATTTTTTTTACTTAAAATTGCCATAACTTTTTTAAAAATGATCGAATCAATATAATTTTTTTTTTTATAGATACCTTAAATATTTACCTATCATTTTATATATTTTTGTGAACATTTGACCCTTTAACAGCCCAAAGGATGGGGTTTCAAAATGGTAACTTTTTTACAAAAAATTAACTTTTTCAACTTAACTTTTGAAAATGTTCCGGAAAGACTGACAATTTTATATATACCTTAAATTAAAGCTAATGTAATATACTTTAATTTGAAAAAAAAAAATTTGACCTCTGGACTTGTCTTCATGGTGAAAATGACTACCGTATGCAAAAATATGCTATTTTTGTGAAAAAATTCTTGATATTATATTTTACATTTTTTAACATTATGTTGCTATAACTTTTTAAAAAATGCATGAATCAACTTTATTCTTTAATGATAAATACTTTATATATACTTCTTTCATTCGACATACTTTTTTTTAAAATCGGACCATTTCCCTTTATACAGGGGGGGTGCAAACCTTTTAAAATGCGTATAGAAAGTAGAACTTTTTCAACTTAACTTTTGAAAATGTTCCGGAAAGACTGACACTTTTATATATATCTTAAATTAAAGCTTATGTAATATACTTTAATTTGAAAAAAAAAAATTTGACCTCTGGACTTGTCTTCGTGGTGAAAACGGACATCAAAGTTAAAGAAAAACGTACGATTTCCGTGAAAAAAATCTCGATTTTATATGTTATATTATTTAATTTATATTTTATATAACTTTTGGAAAAATGTATGGATCAATATTATTATTTTTTTATAATAAATATTTATATACTCCTTTCATCTACACGCTTTTTTTGTAAATCGGATCATACCCCTTTAACAAGGGGGGTCAAAACTTTAATCATGCGTATTGTTACTATGATATTTTCAATTTAATTTTTGAAAGTATTCCGGAAATACTGACACTTTTAAATATATCTTAAATTAAAGCTTATATAATATACTTTAATTTGAAAAAAAAAAATTTGACCTCTGGATTTGTCTTCATGGTGAAAACGGACATCAAAGTTAAAGAAAAACGTACGATTTCCGTGAAAAAAATCTCGATTTTATATGTTATATTATTTAATTTATATTTTATATAACTTTTGGAAAAATGTATGGATCAATATTATTATTTTTTTATAATAAATATTGATATACCCCTTTCATCTGGCACGCTTTTTTTGTAAATCGGATCATACCCCTTTAACAAGGGGGGTCAAAACTTTAAACATGCGTATTGTTACTACGATATTTTCAATTTAATTTTTGAAAGTATTCCGGAAATACTGACACTTTTAAATATATCTTAAATTAAAGCTTATGTAATATACTTTAATGTGAAAAAAAAAAATTTGACCTCTGGATTTGTCTTCATGGTAAAAATGACTACCGTATGCAAAAATATGCTATTTTTGTGTTAAAATTCTGGGTTTTGTATTTTATTTTATTTTAAAATACCTGACAAGGGGAGTACAGATTTTCATAAATATTATATAAATTAAAATTGATATAGTATAGATAGTTAAACTTATTTAAATATGTTTGTTTCTTTTAAGTCGAGAAAAATAACTTTGAAATTTGAACTAGCTTAAATAGCCAATTTTTCAACCGCCGGAAGCAACGTACGGTTGCCGAGTTGGTAAAATTTATGTTTTACACGCTTGGGGTACGAGGTTCCAACCCGCATATGGCAATGAATTTTTTGCATTTTTTCTTAATTCTTTTTAAGTTAGTATAAATTTTAACTCGTTTGATTTTTATCACATTTAGATTCAATAACTTCAATAAAGATCAAGGATCCCATCACTTTAGTCGCCCCTTGCAAGAAGAAATTTCTTATTCGTATTAAAATTATTTTACTATATTTTAAGTTTTCGCTTCGATGCAAAGCCGAGAAGATATTTTTTTGTGACTATCATTTATTTTCTCTGCTCTAACTTGACCTACTTTTTTCAACAATACGTCAAATTACTACAATTCGTATCTAGTTGAAGATATTACTCTCAAAAATTGAAAAAAAAATTCTAATTTATCAATTAAACAGTTAGTTATTACATCGTCTCCATAAAGACAATTAAAATCATTAATTTCTAATGTTTTCAAAATATTTATTAACGAATGAAGTTTGATATGATAGGTTTCAACTACAAAATTAAATCATTTTACTTTGTAATTTAATAATTTTATTACTCTGTTTGTGTGTGCTACTATTAGACTATAATATTCAAATTTTTTTCTAACGTGTTGCTATATAAATCATTTCTAAAAAAAATGATTGTTTTTTCTCCTGAATTAACAATTGATTTTTACAAATATAATCAAATTTTATAATAAACTCAATTGAGTAAATCTTTTTAACAACTTTGTTTTGATTGGTACATTTAGTTAAAGTAAATCATTAAAATTAATTAAGTTCTCAATATTTCAATTATAGAATCTTTTCAACAAACAACAAAAGTTCCTAGGAAATTATTACTATTACTTCTATTTAAGTTATCTATTACCATAAAAATGCAAAAAAATATTGAGCTTTTCTGATAAATTTACAATAAATAGTAATTATAAAACTTTCTGACTGCATATTGATCTTAACGATACAATTTTTTTAATTGTCATAAAATTTTCTATTTAATTATGTCAATGTCAAACTTACCAATTGAGCTAAAAGTTATGGTAAAATAAATTTTTTTTTTTTTTTATAAACATTTACAACAATCAACTTTAAACGATTAACAAAATTGGTTAAATATGTCATTTTCCTTATTTTTAACTTATTAATAATCAAATTAATATTAAATATTATATCAAATCAGTATTAATTTAAAACAATTTTTTTTGTTCTTAATTATTTTTTTTTATATGTAAAAACTATTTTTTAATAATATTAAAACTTAGAAGTTATAGAAAAAGTCTAATTGCACATTTTAAAACATCGCGAAAAGTTGATTTAGAATAGTATATTTTTGTTTCTGATGGAAGTTCCTTGTAGTCCAGTGTATAAAACTTATAACTTTGTTAATTGTTATAACTTTATCAAAAATGACCAAATCAGTATATTTTTTTTTATTTAGATGCATGTCTTTATCTATCATTTGGTTTTTTTTATAAATCTAACCCTTTACCTGCCCACAAGAGGGATTCAAAATATTAACTTTTTTTTTTTTAGTTAAAGTAAATCATTAAAATTAATTCAGTTCTGGATATTTCAATAGTAGAATCTTTTTAAATATCAAAAATTACTTAGAAATGATTACTATGATTTCTATTTAAGTGTTCTATTACGATAAAAATGCAAAAAATAATGAGTTTTTCTGATAAATTTACAATAAATAATAATTATAAAACTTTCTGACTGCATATTAATCTTAAAAATAACATTGTTTTAATTCTCATAAAATTTTCTATTTAATGATTCATTCTAGTCAACGAAGGAGTAATTTTGCAGAATAGCAGAAAAAATTCCCAACAAACTTTTTTTTTTTTTGTTTTAATTAGGCAATTGGTGGATTATTCCAAAAGCAACATCAACTCTTATTTCTTTAATTATATCATGATTAGTAGTTCTTTGATTTTAAAATATAATATTTGAATATATACTAATTATAATTATTAAATTTAGTATGAAATTGATATTTAATATTGTAATTTAAACGGAGAAATTATAAAAATAATAAAGAAGTTATATTTTGCTTTACTTTTACGTGTATAAAAATTTAAAGGGCTTGATACAATAATTTTCAATAAAAACTGTTTGTTACTATAAAAAAATGCACTGGACTACAAGGAACTTTCATCAGAAGCAAAAATATACTTTTCTAAATCAACTTTTCGCGTTGTTTTCAAATCTGCAAGTAGACTATTTCTATCACTTCTAATTTTTTATATTATTACTAATTATATATATAAAATAATAATTAAAAGAAAAAAAAATTTGTTTTCAAATTATTACTGATTTGATTTTTAATATGTTAAAAATAATCAGTCCAAATTTTCAATTTTAACCTATTTTTTTGGTTCTTTAAAGTTGATGAAAAATTTTTGATAAAGATTTATGAAAGTTTATAGTAAAATAAATTGAATATATTACCATAACTTTTAGCTCAATTACAAGTTTAAAATTGACATCTAGGCCAGTCAACAAAGGAAAAATTGCGGAAAAAATTTTGTTTTTTTAAAAGTTGAATTAAAATATGTATAATGACATACTAATAGTCCTCAAGATTGGAATTGAGCTTTTTTTTTAAATCCTCGCAAAAGTTCAAAAATATGAGCTTTCTTAATTTTCTCAAAAAAAAATATTTAACTTACAAAAAAAAGTTTCGCACAAAAGTTGTTTAAAAGACAATTATAAATAAAAATATAATCTTATATTTTTTCATTTAAACAAATATTTTTCGAGTTACATTACATTTAATATGAGTAATAAAATTTATATTCCATTTTTTTCATTTTACGGTTACTTTTTATCATGTTATACTTACATTAGACACAATGTTATAAATGCATATGTGTGTATGTGTGAGTTTATTTATTTATTGTATCATTAAAGTGTAGTGTATATTGAGATACAACCGATAGAGTAGGTAATTGATTTGACGCTATATTATTTAAACCCAACTAAACGCTAAATTGTACATTCCGAAATAACAATCATATTATGTCAATTGCCACCGGAATATCTGGTAATATTTTTCTTTTTCTTTGCCTTAATCCCAACTACTTGGGGTCGGGCACCCTTATCCTAAGATTCCACTTGACACGATCTCCCACATCTTCTACGCTCACATCAGCTGTCCTCAAATCGCATTCAATAGCATCCCTCCATCTCTTTTTTGGTCTTCCTCTATCTCTTCTTCCTTCAACATTCATTTCTATAACTGTTCTTACAGCTTTCGATTCTTCTTTCCTCATACCATGACTAAACAATCTAAGTCTATTTTCTGTCATCTTATCCACGATTGACGCAACACCTATACTTCCTCTTATATGCTCGTTCCTTATCCTATCTTCTCTAGTCACTCCACTCATCCAACTAAGCATTCTCATCTCTGCTACACTTATTCTCTGCTCTACTTTCTTATCAACCGCCCAACACTATTAACCATACATCATAGCTGGCCTCACAATTTCATACTAAATTTAAAAACTATAATTAGTATTTATTCATATATTATATTTTAAAATCAAAGAACTACTAATCAGGATATAATTAAAGAAATAAGAGTTCATGTTGCTTTTAAAATATTTCACCAATTTCTCTAAAGGAAACACTATCTACAGATTTGCATCGAAGCGTTTCTTATGATAGTGATTTTAATCACTGTCAGATATCATCTATACTTGTCCCATCTATGCCTTGTCCACACTGTGCCTCGACCCCACTGTGCTACCGTTTTTTATTTTGATTTGTTGCAAAAAAATGTTATTTGTATTTTTCCATTATAAATGTTTGAAAGAAAAAATATATTTATGTATTGACTAATAATTATTTCTTAAATATATATATATATCTTAATAAGATATTTTCTTCTGGATAAAACTAAAAACCAATATAATTCAGGTTAATATTGATAATTTTCTAAAGATATTTTGAATACATATATTTTTACTAACAAATAAAAACAGGAAAACTTCAATAAAAATCTAAATTTTCAAGATCACATTGTGATATTGTCTTTATATATCTAGTATGGTTTATTTTAATCATTTTACTTTTAAATTAATAATAAATCACTGTTAATTAAAAAAAGATACTTAAGTCATTTTTCTTATACTACAATATACTCTCATGTCTGAATTGTATTAAAAGTTTATTGCTAACTCGTTATTTATTAAAAATATTGTCATTTTTAGCTTGTCACAATTTTTTATTGCCAATGTAAATAGGCTTGCTCAGAAGAATGTACAAAATATATGTCTATTAACTTTTGCAGATGGGCTTGTAAATTTATTATTCACTAAGCCCAATGAGTTGGACAGTAGAAACTGTGATATTTATCCTAATTGTAGTCTCATAAATGAAAAATTGTTAGATCACTTTACTGATTATAGTGCTACTGGAAGGTATTAAATTAAATAAAAAATATGAAAATTCACAATTTAAATTTGATTTTTAACACTTATTTGTTTTTAATTTATTTACAGAGACTTATCATCAAAAATGAAAGATAAAGCTATTTGCCACATAATTATTTTGATGCTCTTAATTAATATGAATACTATAAATCTTAGTTGGATATCAACTTTTCTGCCTTCAAAATGTCAAAAAAGGTAACATTTTTTTTTTTGAATATTTTAACCAATTTAGAAACTAGAAAATTTTCTATTTAAGATAATGACTAGTGGATAACAACTTTTGTACCAGTATTTGGGAAATTATTAACTTTTTAATATAATGACTGGAGGTGAAGTGTGGGTATGTCTATTTTTATTTCTAGATAATAATGAACCATTCTACTTCTTTCATCTTATTATAAAAATTCTAATATCTTTTAAAATACTACTCAAAAAGTTGTTATCGACCAGTCATTTTCTTAAAATGATCATTTTTTAGTGTGTAAGTTGTTTGAACATATATGTTATAACATAAAGTTCTAAGGGGGATAGACCAAATTGTTTGAAATTATAGAATGTAGGATACTATTAACTTCGGAAAAGAAATTATATTGAATTGAATATTTTAGAGATAATATATGTATTATAGCTAAAGAATCAATTGATATATTTAAATTATATGTACATTTGTTATTCAAGTGTTGTATGTGAACAAGGTAGTGAAGAAGAGGTTCTTCTGACTCAAATATGACTAGTTATAACAATACATAATATAAGGATAGGCCTATTTACCTACTTCATCGAGTTAATTGTAGAATGTTTAACAATAGAGCGAATAATATGTAGATATTCATATAAAGTACATGAAATACTTTTAGGGTTTACTTCTATATAGATGTGTTAATACTGTACAAGTATTAATTTCAAAAAAAATAATGTCTTTAGTTTGGTTTAAATATTATTGTTATTATTATTAGAATTATATTATAATGCATTTCTTGTTTTCCCTCTTTATTTCTGTCCCATCTGTTATTTTTCTGACCTCATTCCGCTGTGCCTATATATATTATGTATACATAATTATTTTTATGTACAAGCAATATGCTTGCATTATTTCATATTTCACATATGAATACTCTTGATGTATTGTTTACTCTTCTTTATATTAACAATTATAATATAATATTCAATATTTTTTTCCTTTTACTTTATGATAAATTTTATTTTTCAAAATATTGTACTTAAAAATAAATAAGCTAAAATTCAAATAGAAAGTAAAAAAATATAAATTGTGTACATATAGTATTTTTTTAGCAAATTGCTTTACTACTATTCTATCTGAAAAAACTTGCTTCCTACAGAGTGTATCACGACACTAACTCTTTTTTATTTAGAATTATTAAATATATATCAGTCCTTGTACTTCATTATCATCTCGGGCTTAACTTATTATTTGGGACTCCCAATAATGAGTGAATTTTTCATTATTTTTATTTTAATCAAATATTTTAGTTTAACTAGAGTAAATGTTTAATTTTACAACTATTAATTATTAAAAATTTCAGGTTAATAACATTAATGAGAGTTGTTGGTGCAATGGCAACAAAAGAAGATAAAACTAAGTTCACACTAAAAATACCTTTATCATCTCTTCCAACTTTTCAAAAAACATCTAAACGAAAACGTTAATTTAGTACATATTTTATGTATATTTTAATTAAATGGACAATGGAATGCTTATATTTTTTATTTTTATCAAAACTATTTTTCCAATTTCTTATAGATATTTGTAATATTTAAAATATATTTGTTTTCTCTTATAGTCAAGATTTTACTTAGATAACAAATTATTACTCATATCTAATAAAATTAACAACAGCCTGTTCATTTTTTTACTGTCTGTATGCATAAGAAATTGTGAAACCTTAGTAGGATAGCTATTGCTATTGTATTTTAATTTTGTGAGTAATTATTAGGGTTCTACAACAATATCGATATCACAGAGCTTTTTTATTTTTCTTACAATGTTGATTATTTTTAATATATCGCGATAATCGAAATTTTTATAAAATTAAAATGAAATTTAGTCACTTTGTTTTTTTTTTTAAATAAAATATTCTCTTTTTTTGTATATTTACAATCTACAATGCGTACAATAAGTAAATTTGTTAAATTAATTGATTACATGAACAGAATGAATGAGTAGTTCACATTAGAATCTCCCCACAATAAAAGTAAAGTATTTACATTGTTAGTTAAATTTATATAAATTTGAAGATTTTTTTTTTTTATTTATCCCTTTAGTTGCTGGATAATAGGTCTCTATACCAGGTGCGTTTAAGACATTGTGTTAAGTTGTTAGGAAGTGTTTTAGTGCTAAGTTGTGCTATTCAAATTATTAGGATGATTTAATAGTTCACAATGATATCTGAAGAAGAATAGTGTTGCAGATTAACTTATAGTTTTAATATTTAGTTCACTGTGAAGTTGATTATTATTTAAGAACCAAGGAGCCCTAGTAATGCGAAGACATTAATTGAAATGCTTATACGATTTTTGTATTTGATGGTTTTGCCAATCACCAAAAAGAATACCGTAACTCATATTGGTTGTAGCAAACTCTTGGTCACCTTGTTATAAAATAATAACAATAACATCATTTGATATTAAGTCAAAAACAGTTCGTGATTTTTCGTTTAAAATATATTATGAGATAAGATAGTGGCAGTTAAATATTTAAATAGAGAATTTTTATATGTTAAGCAGATAGATGTTTGGCTACAAACACATGTTCTTTATATATTAATAATATTTAAGAAAAAATTTAATTAAAGACAAATATGAATAAATAACTATAAAAAGTGAATTCTAGCTAAGCCATGGTAATTTTTATTTTAATGCAATATATTTTTAAAAGCTACAAGTAAAAATGTTCATAGTTAATCTATTCATTATATTTATTATTAGAGAATTATAATTCAGAAGTTGAAAGGTAAAAAATATTACATATTTTTTTAATTTCAATAGATACTCGTTTAAGTAATGATAATTTTCATTGAAAAAAATGTGTTAATAACCAATAATTAGGGTTCCTTTTTCTTTTATTCTTTTCTTATTAACATATACCTACGTTTAAATTAAATTAAATTAAACGTGAAAATGTACAAAAACTATAAATACTCTAGGAATTTAACTTTTTAATTTTGCTACCCAACTTTTTTTTTAAATCTGTTGTATAAAAAGACTATTTTTTTAAACAATTTAGGATGAATTATTTAAATAGATTTCTTAAAAATTTAAATTTTAAACTTTAAAATTTAATTATTTTTAAATAAATTAAAAGAATATTGTAATTTTGTAGTTCAAAAGTGCACACTTATTAAAAAATAAAGTACTGTTAAATAGTTACTGAATTAAAAGTTGAATGATTTGTCAAAACATTATAACGTATAATATACGGGCCGGTTTCACATGCTCTAAATATATCAAATAGAAAAATATTCTATAAAACCTGTATGCTATGGGCTCTTAACCCAATTGGAAGTTATATATCGAGGATCAAACCTGAGCCGTACAGACTGTTGAGTATACTCAATATTTTGTTAAAAAAACATTAATTTTTAAACTACCATGTGCTTGTACAGGATAACATATATTATTTACCATATGATAGACAGTAATTTATGTTCTGAATATCCATTTATTATAAAAGCAATTCCCGTTATTATCATGAAAAACGACTAGACATCATTTGAGTATTCTAATGACACTTATATATGAACCTTAATTTTATGTTATTCAATGAAAAATATTACTTATGTACATATTATAAGTTAATTAGAGCAATATTAATATTTTGTTTTCAATGATTAATTTTGTTGTTAAAATTAAATTCAGTTTTATAATTCATAAAATATTAGCTTGTTTTATAAAATCAAATCATATAAGCTCTTTTTGGTTACATAATTTGATTATTTAGTTACACTTGGAAGGACCGCTTCTCTTTTCCAAAGTTTTTAGTGTCTTGCCCAGTTTTCCGTAACTCCTGCGTTGTTGATCGATCTCATCGACCAAAGGTTCTAAAGTGCAGTTCACGATACCACATCTGTCAGTAAAGTATGCAACTTCAGCATCCTGTTTAAAACCTATGCTATGGGTTTTGCCTAAATTCTTGCATGTGTTATGAGACGTTTTTGAGAATGACCTTAGGGATTTTAGAGGGTTTGGTATCAATGTCATGCCCATGTTCTTGTATGTCCAACTTTGTTCTTCTTCTTCTTTATCTTTCAACTGTCATAAGCCAATAAAGTTTATTTAAATTTTTTCGTTGATCTAATGTTTATGAATTATAACGGATCATAACAATATTTATTTTATTTTATTTAATCTACTAAAAAAAAAGAAAGTTTTGTCCATAAATTAATTGCTAGAACGAAGAGCTTAATTTCATAGTCCATCTAAATACTTTTATAAACTTAATTCGATGCTTTTCAATAAAGATATCTCAAAAAATAATTATGAGTACTGAGAAAATATGTGTTATCTTAAAAAATACTTATGGCTTACTGTAAACTTTTTTGGAAAGTTAATAGGTCCTTCCAATGTACTAGATTGACTTGTACATTTAATGCCATTCATTTTAAAAACAATTGGTCACTCTAAATTTAATTAGAACAGCGACCAATTAAATGTAAAAACAATATTTAATCCATTTTTCTCACTTCTTTAAAACAGTAGATTTTAATAATTTTGCTTTAAAATGCATGTTGCCAAGCAGCCAACATTAGTCTAACATATTGATAAAAGATCAATTTATATTAAGTTCTATTTCGACTTTTTAGCTTCGATGCGAAGCTGAGAAGATATTAATTTTACTATGATGTGTTTTTTTATTTTTTTATTTTTTTTTTTGTGTCTGTGAACGCTCAATCTCAGCTCTCGCTGGACCGATTTTGATGAACAATATGTCAAAAGATCACAAATCGTATCTAGTCGAAGACATTACCCTCAAAAATTGAAAAAAATTCCCTCGTTCCCCGTAAACGGGGGAAATCCCCCAAAAAATTACAAATTTAAAAATCGCTAATTTTCGATATTTTTTCAATTTTTTTTACTTAAAATTGCCCTGACTTTTTTAAAAATGATCGAATCAATATAATTTTTTTTTTATAGATACCTTAAATATTTACCTATTATTTTATATATTTTTGTGAACATTTGACCCTTTAACAGCCCAAAGGATGGGGTTTCAAAATGGTAACTTTTTTACAAAAAATTAACTTTTTCAACTTAACTTTTGAAAATGTTCCGGAAAGACTGACAATTTTATATATACCTTAAATTAAAGCTAATGTAATATACTTTAATTTGAAAAAAAAAAATTTGACCTCTGGACTTGTCTTCATGGTGAAAATGACTACCGTATGCAAAAATATGCTATTTTTGTGAAAAAATTCTTGATATTATATTTTACATTTTTTAACATTATGTTGCTATAACTTTTTAAAAAATGCATGAATCAACTTTATTCTTTAATGATAAATACTTTATATATACTTCTTTCATTCGACATACTTTTTTTTAAAATCGGACCATTTCCCTTTATACAGGGGGGGTGCAAACCTTTTAAAATGCGTATAGAAAGTAGAACTTTTTCAACTTAACTTTTGAAAATGTTCCGGAAAGACTGACACTTTTATATATATCTTAAATTAAAGCTTATGTAATATACTTTAATTTGAAAAAAAAAAATTTGACCTCTGGACTTGTCTTCGTGGTGAAAACGGACATCAAAGTTAAAGAAAAACGTACGATTTCCGTGAAAAAAATCTCGATTTTATATGTTATATTATTTAATTTATATTTTATATAACTTTTGGAAAAATGTATGGATCTATATTATTATTTTTTTATAATAAATATTGATATACCCCTTTCATCTGGCACGCTTTTTTTGTAAATCGGATCATACCCCTTTAACAAGGGGGGTCAAAACTTTAAACATGCGTATTGTTACTACGATATTTTCAATTTAATTTTTGAAAGTATTCCGGAAATACTGACACTTTTAAATATATCTTAAATTAAAGCTTATGTAATATACTTTAATGTGAAAAAAAAAAATTTGACCTCTGGATTTGTCTTCATGGTAAAAATGACTACCGTATGCAAAAATATGCTATTTTTGTGTTAAAATTCTGGGTTTTGTATTTTATTTTATTTTAAAATACCTGACAAGGGGAGTACAGATTTTCATAAATATTATATAAATTAAAATTGATATAGTATAGATAGTTAAACTTATTTAAATATGTTTGTTTCTTTTAAGTCGAGAAAAATAACTTTGAAATTTGAACTAGCTTAAATAGCCAATTTTTCAACCGCCGGAAGCAACGTACGGTTGCCGAGTTGGTAAAATTTATGTTTTACACGCTTGGGGTACGAGGTTCCAACCCGCATATGGCAATGAATTTTTTGCATTTTTTCTTAATTCTTTTTAAGTTAGTATAAATTTTAACTCGTTTGATTTTTATCACATTTAGATTCAATAACTTCAATAAAGATCAAGGATCCCATCACTTTAGTCGCCCCTTGCAAGAAGAAATTTCTTATTCGTATTAAAATTATTTTACTATATTTTAAGTTTTCGCTTCGATGCAAAGCCGAGAAGATATTTTTTTGTGACTATCATTTATTTTCTCTGCTCTAACTTGACCTACTTTTTTCAACAATACGTCAAATTACTACAATTCGTATCTAGTTGAAGATATTACTCTCAAAAATTGAAAAAAAAATTCTAATTTATCAATTAAACAGTTAGTT